TGCCAGGAGCTCTTTGCTCGCCACCCTTACGCCCTGTGTTTGTCCCGCAGCCACTTCCGAACCGTGGGCACGGCTGTCAAGGAGGATGCCCTGGAGCTGATGATGCACGGTGGGTACCCGCTGTTTCCGGCCGACGCAGGACTAAAGGAGAGGTTGTTTTCCCTTGGCAGCTCCGTGATGATATAAAGGCTAATGTGACTCGTCCAGCTGGGCTGCACCCTCAGCCCACTCCTGTCATACGGGTCTGTAATCTTGGTGGACAATGCTGAGTTGTGCATGTTCGCTGTAAGGGCAGACCGACAGAAAATCCTCTTGCCCTTGTCCCTGGAAAATACATCTGTGGGACGAATCAGCTCAGAGTGAGTGTTTCTCTGAGCTGAGGAGGGCTGTGGGGATAGGACAAGACAGCATGCCCCAGGACTGGGTTGCAGGGGGCAGCCCATGTTACAGCTGGTGAGATGTGAGCACACATCTTTGGTAATCTGATGACTGCTCTAAGCCTCCCAAAGAGAGGATGGCTGAGGGACCTGGCAAGGAGTGCTCATGACTTTCTGCTTCTCCTCAGTGGTGTCCCATCATTCCAATGAACTTCCTAATATCTTGAGTGACTCTGGGCTGAGCCATGCCGACCGCGCTGCTCACCTCAATGCTCTTAAGATGAGCTGCTATTTGCTGACGGGCCTGATGGATGCCTTTGAAATGGAAACCTGCAAGAACAGTTGTTTGGAGGCAGATCCTGGTAGGAAGGTAGGTGAAGGAACTGGGGGAAAGATGATAAAAGAATAAAATTTTATGCTTGCTGAACTCCATACTATCTATCAGATTTTATAGCTGAGTTTATATAAACGTAACGCTAGCAAGAGCAGTCATGTGTCTAAACATCACCAGGGACTTGGACACCCAGACTTTTCTATTTCATTCTTCAGTTTCTGGCTGGGGCTTAGTTTGCCAGTATTTTCTCAAGGTTTCCTTTCTGTGGGTAGAGATGGTGGCAGTGGGTGCAGGTATAATCCTTAAACCACACAAAGCACTGGTGCCGCCCTGAGCTGAGGGAGAAGAATTGGGGGGGGGGAAAGCCCCCTGTGGTCTCACACGTCTCACTGTGTGTCTCTTAATGCTGTAGAATTTAACACACTTCTTATGTTTTGAAGGAAGCAGGGTAGTGATGGGGTTTTGTGAAGCTGCTGATGTATCTCACCATATCATCTCCCTTCTAGAACAGGAAGAACCATGCCAAGACTTCTGGATCCTTGTGGGAAGAGGAGAGGGAGCCACTTTTACGGCTGCTTACACAGCTGCTGCAGCTGGATCTCCGTCAGCTTTGGGGTGGTTTAGCAGTGGAAGAAGAGTTTTTCAGGTATGAATTGGAGTGGGTGTATTTGTGGAATGAGTGACTGGTTCTGAGGAATAAAAGGTTAAACAATAGATCTATCAAAGATTGTATTACAGCCCTCTATGGGGTGCAGATCGTTGGGAAACTGAGAAAACAGCTCGAGGCAAAACCATTGTGTGTAGGAATGGCTTCCTCTCCTCACGTAGGCCACAAAAATTCAGATGTTTGCTAATCTTTAGAGGACATTGGAGAATCACTCAGGCAGAAACGTGGTGTGCTAGAATGATGTTTGTAATAGTGAAGTTTGATGTCTCTCTTCTGTGGTTTTAGCTTAATGACAGGAAGCTGCTACCGTATCCTGGAGAATCCAAGTATTGGCCTTCAGAGGTATCGTGTCACTCGGGAGGCTGTGACACATCTGCTTGCTGCAGCTCTGGTTCACTGTGACCACATGTTCAGTGAGTTCCTGCTCTTCTGCCTTCTTCCTGAAGCCATTGCCAGTTACTTTCCCTGACCTCTTTCTTCCTTCTCACATGTGAAAGGTGCCACTCTGAAGATCACACAGATGCTGCAGCACTTTGAACATGTAGCCCCAGTGTTTGCACAGGCTGTGAGCCTCTGGGCTAAAGAGTATGGTCTGAAAAGCCTGGTGGGTGAATTGCTAAGGTGAGAGAAATATCTGAAGCCTCATCCTTCTATCCCTAGCCAACTTGAGGCACCCCATTCCTTGTTTCATCTTTCTGTGCAGGGAAATTGGACAGAAATGTCCCCAGGATTTGGCTCGTGAGGCTTCTGGAGTCAAGGGTTATGCTACTTTTATAAGCGAACTGGCTGAACAGATTCCAACTCTGGTGCTCTCCAACATGAGTGTTCTCCTGCCTCATTTGGATGGGGAGGTATGTTTCTGCAAAATCACCCATCCAGAAAAGTCAAATGGTGGAGATGCTGCTATCCAGTTTTTCTGAATGGAAGCAGAACCTCTTTTGCAGAGCCCAAGTATCCAAAACCTGTTCTGTTGGAATAGGTTCTGCCCTTACCTAAAAGATGCAAAGGGAACAGAAACCATGACATCTACTGTCTGGTTGTCACTGTCAGATGGCAGAGAACAGGAGACTGCCTACTCGTCTGAGGTCCCTGCTGTTGTCCCTTGTTCTTCAGCACTTCATGAGTTTGTCACTGTGTTACCTTTTCTTTACCTGTTGTAAGTGTTTCTCATGTCAGTTCTTGGCTTCTATGAATTTACGTGGATAGCAGGGTTTGGGTTGGAAGGGACATTAACACCTCTGCCATGGCGGCGCAAAGCCCCATCCAGCCTTGAACAATTCTAGGGATGGGACATCCACAGCTTCTCTGGGAAACCTGTTCAAGTGTCTCACCACATTCTCAATAAAGAATTTCTTCCATATATTTAATCTAAACCTACCTTCGCTTTGAGGCCATTCTCTCTTGCCCTATCACTTGCATGCCCTGGTAAAAAGTCCCTCTCCAGCTCTCTCATACCCCCCTTTAGGTACTGGAAGGTTCCTTCCCAGAGCCTTCTCTTCTGCAGGCTGAACAAGACCATCTCTCAGCCTGTCTTCATAGCAGAGGTTACTTTGTCTTGCAGGCACACTATGGTCACCCAAGCTTAATATATAATTAAGCTTTATACATACTTACTAATTAATACTGAAAAAATTCACTTAGGGCTGAAGCCTGGGATTTGGAAGGCCCAAACTCTGAGTATTATCAAGTAACGTCTTTTAGTCTGTTCTTAGTTCAACAACTCCTGTCTTGGCAGAGTTACATGATGCGAAATGCCATTCTGGCAGCTATGGCAGAAGTGCTGGTGCAGGTGCTGAACGGTGACCAGCTGGAGGAAGCTGCCCGTGGTACTCGAGACAAGTTCCTGGATATACTGCAGGCCCACGTGTGCGACGTCCATAGCTTTGTTCGCAGCCGCGTGCTGCAGCTCTTCACCCGCATCGTTCAGTGCAAGGCAAGTTTCTGCTGGGCAAATGGTGTTGCCTCAGTCATCTCTTCCCAGCTTGATTCTGAGGGAATTTCTGCCACCCTGCTTTTTGTTTGCAGAGACTGAAGTTTTAACGGAGAAAAGTGTTGTCCTTGTGTGCTGTGGTGTCTGAAATTTCTTCCAAAAGACCAAAGATCCCAGGAAAGGGGGAACTGGGGGATGGAAATGAAATGTTGTTCATTCTTACTGGGACAAACTAGAAAAAAGAGCATAGCATACAGCCTCTTTTCACACACTGGTATAGGAAAACATCACAATTACCAGATATACCAAGACTCAACAGGATCCTGCACAACCATAATCCTTGTTTTCAGAGGCTGGACCAGAATATATCCAGAGATCTTCTGAGCCCTAGACTTTTCTGTAAATCTATAATCTGTGCTTTTTAGTACATGAATATGTCTGCAGTAAACTTTTCCCAAGTCTCTGAGCCTTCTTGATAATTTTATCTGTGCTCTTGTTGTGTTCTAGGCCCTGCCTTTGACTCAGTTTCAATCTGCAGTGTCCCTGGCTGTGGGGCGGCTCCAAGACAAGTCTGTCATAGTGGTTAAAAATGCGATCCAGCTCCTGGCTGCGTTTTTGTCCAACAATCCCTTCTCCAGCAAGGTAAATCAAATTAATATGGTGGATATATTAGATGTCTGCTTGCAGGCTAAATATCTGCAGTGTGCTATAGCCAGGGCAGTAGCATTTCTGTGGCTTGTGGGAGGGACAATGTAGCCTTTGACTCTGCAGGTGGCAGCTTTCTGGTCTTCCCAGGTTCAGATTTTGAGTTCTTGGACTCATCCCTCTTGGTGAAATTCATAGCTGTGCTGAAGACCGGGAGGGATGTGATTGAGGTAAAAACCTACAGCAGTTTGAGTCCACTGTGAGGTTTCTCTCCTTAGGATCAGAATTAGTTCTTTAGAATACTCTTCATGGGTCTGCAGCTTTTTGTGTTTAGCTGCACCTTCTCCTGAGCTTCTGAGCCTTAGACTGGCAACTTAGGGCAGTTGTCATTCTAGGACTGGGGCCAGAGTCTACTATTCCAGTTTCCAAATTACCATAGATAGGGTTAGCTATTGGGATTAACAACTAAAGCAGGGAGTAGAAGACAGAGAATTCTGGCATTTCAGGAAAATGAGGATAACTAACATATTTCTTCTTTTCCTGACATCTTCAGCTAAGCTGTACTGACTTGGAGGAGCCACTGAAAAAAGAAGTGCAGAAACTGAAAGAAATGAGGGATCGTAGCAGACCCACAGCAGGTAATTTCCTTTCTTTTTCTTTCCACTTTCTAGGACAGTCCAAAATTTGCTTTTCCTCAGATTTGCTCCCAGGTTGTCACAGCTTTTGTCTCAGATCCTACCTGTGTGAGATGGTGAGATCAGATAAAGGGGATTAAACTCAAAACAGTTTTCCTTGTGGTGGTGTTATAAAAGGACCATATTAATATCCTTGTCTAAATCAACAGTCCTTTAGCTATATATCCTGTAAGTAAGAACTGAAACCTGAAGTAGAAAAGAGAAAGCTGGGAGGGTGTTTAAATCTATGAATCTATTTCTACCACTCAAGGACTGCTTGAGTCATGATTTTGGTCAGATATTATTTAAACTTGATTTGTAGGCAGCACCAAAATTCAAGGCTAAAGAAATGATGGTTCTCTTACTTGTCTTTTTTTTCTGCCTTCAGTAGTTTTTGTTTTGTTTTGGTTTCGTTTGGTTTGGTTTTTTTGTTGTTTAGGTTTTTTATTTGTTTTTCTGGTTTGGTTTGTTTTTTTGGTTTTTTTTTGTATGTCACAGTCCTTGTCTTACTACTGGAGTCTAGGTGGGATCAGCCATGACAATAGTGCCTGCCTAGGGAGGAGGTAGAGGTAGAGGAGGTAGAATTTGTAAGTTCCAGATGAGTTTTTCCTTCCCATTGAAGGTGTCGTCTGAGTCTGTGTTCTTCATTCCCTCTGATTTTTAAGTAGCTCCCATGATTGCCCCAGAGGAAGAGTGGGAAGCGATGCTGCCAGAAGTTAGGGCTGCCACACAGCAGCTCTTTCAGCCACTGCAGGAAGAGGAAGAAGAGGTGTTGGAAGTTGAAGAAACAGTGGAAAGGACAGTGGAGCAAATCACCGGGCTGTTGAAGAGGCTGAATTACAAGTAAGAAGGCTCTGCAGTTTGACACTGTTTATCCCAAGGGGTGATTTCCAGTAACGTTACTCTGTAGGAAGAGATTGATGTGGGCACCCAGCACAAGATGCTGGTAGGAGCTGCTTTCTCAGGTGTTCAGGGCAAAGCTGGATGGCTTCCCTTATGTTCTGCTCTGACGTGTTGCTGATACTCTCTTGGGCAATGTCATCGTCCAGGAGCGCCGCCCACCTTACGCAGAAGGCCCTGTGTCGCTTCCAGGGAACAGAACCTTTCATTGGCGCTGGGGAAGAAAACGAGGAGGCAACAATCCTGAGTGTTCTGAAGAGACTTTACACAGGTAACTGTATAATTCTGTCTGTTCCCTAAGTGCAAGATAATGCCAGAGCCAGATTAAAACCTTCTGGAATGCTCTGTCCCTCTGACCTGTGGGGCACAGTCTGTGTGTACTTGACACCTAGAGCTGCAGCATCTCTGCATTGTTTGTTCATCTAGTACCTTGGCATTTTAGCTGGATCATATTGATCTTAATTTCTGGTTGGATCAGTTCCACGGTCCCAGTAAAAATGCATTTCTGTGCTTTAACTCACATAATATCTGAGGGGAATGAAGCCAGAGTTACCACTCCCACCTTTCTGCCCTGTCTGAATTTGTTGGGAGTTCTGCTTCCTGATCAGGTGGTGGCACATAATGCTTGCCCTTAGCAGGCTTAACCAGGTATCTGGTTCAAACAAAGTCTTGGTTATCTGGGGGCATGAGCCTTGAGCCTCTGGGTGTATTTTCAGGAGTTCACGTACCTTATGTTTGGTGTTTGTTTCAGTGTAAGGTTGCTTAGCCAATCACATTGAGCATATTTCTGTTGGAAGTCTATTGTCTAAAAATATTAACTTGGTGAACTCTCCACACTTGCACAAACTTTGCTAGGGAGTAGTGTTTGCCTAACTCCCTGATTCCCTTTTATGGCACTCATCTGTGGGTAATTATCAAGTTCAGATTAACCCCATCAGCATTTTAATGGAGTTTACCCCAACAGGACCATGGCTTTCTATATCCTTATACCAAGCTGGCATGTCTCTGGAGCATCACACTGTAGTACTGGAACTTGCTCTACAGCATGCTGAGATTTTGTAGCTAGGTCTGATGGCAGAATCTGGATTTTTGTATCCTGGCTCTTGGAAGGTGGCACTGTGGGATGGGGAGAGGAGGGTAAAAATGCCCTGAACCGTGCCTGTTTTTCTTGTATCTTCAGTACTGCTCACAAACAAGTGTGCTGTGTAGGTTCATGCCCAGGTGAGAACAGTGAGGATCCTCCATGTGACAACAGCAGCGATAAGATTGAAGAAGTTGCACAGGAAGAGCAGCCTCAGACAGAGCTGGTCAAACAGGAGATGTTGGTGCAGTACCTGCAAGATGCTTACAACTTCTCAGTGAAAATCACAGAAGCTCTGAACCTGATCAGCAAGATGATGTATGAAACCTCTGTCTCAGGTATGTGAAATAACCATGGGGCCTGTTTTTTCCCATTCAGCATGTCTAGATCTTTCCTTGTTTGAGTGAAGATGCTGGACTGGTAGAGCTCCAGGAGAAGGAGAAAAGATTGAAGGAGCTGCTCTTCATTGAGCAGATGTCAAAGACAGTTCCAAGGTATTGGAAAAGCAAGCACCATCTAAATGAGTGTCATGAAGGGGTTGGATAGGGCATTACTTGTCAAAACTACCCTGCATCCTGTGGGGAGGGATGGATGTTCATCATCTCAGCTGAGGTTCTCCCAAAGTAAGCCTGGCCAGTGAAGCTGGGTTTGGTTATGTGCTCAGTGCCCTGACACAGCTTCAGCTGTTATGCTGGCCACAAGAGGGGAACTAAGCAGCTGGTCTCATCTAACTCACTTTTCCTCAAACTTCATTCTCTAGTTAAACATGAGCCTGATCAACAGGTTCTGTGGCCTGGTCCTCTTCAGTGCTCAGCAGAGAAAGGTAGTGATCAGAAGGCCTTTGAGTTATTTCAGCTGTTCATATTTAATATTAGAACTAGTATAATCACTTAAGACTTTTTTGTAGTGTTTATCAGAAATTGGAATTTCCAGGGGATGAGGGGCACATCTCCAACTCCCATCCTCTCCAGCTCATCCACTTGCACAGATCTGGGGTATGGATAGGTGTGGGCACTGCAGTGCCCCAGACTTCATGCAAACACTTCTGAGGGTTCATCTCTGTTGAGGGCTCACATTACTTGCAGTAAAGCTTGTGGGCTTCCCCAGCAGGGTTTGGTGTCATTAGCTATTTGCACACACGAAAATGAACTCCTGGGTTCAGTGTCTTTACAGGTCCTTTGAAGTTCAAGGCCAAGAAATTGCCCTACCTGGTACTTAAACACCTGGGGGTTGTTTGTGGAGGTGTTTTTTTAATGGATGCATGAATTTTAATAACTCTTCATCTCCCTGTTGTCCCGTGCTGTAGTATAAGGAAGGCAAATTCAGTGTCTGAAGAGCTAAGGTATTTTGAGACATTGTCTCCTCTTGGAGAGAGTATGCTGCTGGGTAAGGGACTGGTGCTAAGGGATGTGTGTGCTCAGATTTAGCCTTCTTTTAATTAAAGATTTAATATTTGAATATTTAATTTTTAAACTTCTGTTGTAAATTTATGTATTCTGGTATGACTAGGGGCAGGGAAAGCATATCAGCTCACCTGTTAGATGAGCTTAATTCTGATTTTTAAGGGCTTGTACAGGTGTAAGCTTTTAACTAGAGATCAGACTCTATGAACTGTTTATTGGATAACTCCTGTGATCACTGCTGTGGATGTCTTGTGATGCTATCTATTTTAATAGGGTTTGGTTTTTTTTTGTCCTATGAGAAGACTGGGTAGAGTATTTCAGGAGTAATGGTGCTGGAACCAAACACAGTATTCCTTACCCCATTTGTACATCAAATAGCTTAGTTATTAGTTAGCTCTAGTTATAGCATTGCACTAGGGCTTACATTCAGCTGTCTGCTATGACTATGAGATCTTTTTTCCCGAAGGTCCTGTTTGCCAGAAGAGAATTTTGTTCTTTCTCAAAGACAGTCTCTGTGCACTTCCCATAACCGTATCCCATTGGATTTAGCTGTAATATTGTTAATTTGTGTCTCTTTTCTGGGACATCTACATCTTTGTACTAGTGATCCCATTCTGACTCAAGTCCTCTGCAGACAGTATAGCAGTGATCTCCAGATGATTGTAGAGCTTGCTGTGAGACGAGTTCTCCTATGAATTTGTTTTAATGGTCTCTCTAATGGAACTGGGGAAGAACTGCACTATCACAACTGTTCTCTTTGCAGTGGTGCAGGAAGCCATTGAGTTCTTCGTGACAGTCTCACAGTTTGGTGTGCCCCAGGCACTGCTTGGAGTCCGCAGGATGCTGCCCCTCATATGGTCAAAGGAGCCTGGAATTAAGGAGGCCGTGCTGAATGCCTACAGACAACTCTACCTGAGCCACAGCGAGGATTCAGAGAGGTATGGATCTTCCTAATCAGATTGCTTTTTTTTCCTTTCCCTCCCCCCATCCCCTTTCTGCTCTTGGAAATGGGGTATGGACAGGAAAAGAACTGAGAGTTGCCATGCTTCATGCTGAGCTGAAATGTAAGGTTATTATCTGAGTATCCCAGTCCTCCTGCAGGACCTGAGAGCTGAGTTTCTGCTCTTGGTTTGTCATAGAGCTCATGTGTAGGAAATTCATGCAGCAAAACTCTGTGAGACCCTGTGAAGCAGATGCTGAGAATTACTTGAAGTTAAACTGATGTCAGGCACTAATATTTATTGTTCTCATAAATTTTCATAAAAAGCATTGCCTAAATAGTCTGGGTAGGGTCCCTATCTGATAGGGAACAAGATGTGTTAATTATGAATGTTTCTCTTGCCAGCAAGGTTTTTGATTTGCAATAGTGAATTTCAGCCCATCACAAGTCAACTGTTGATATGGAGTCATCCCATGTCCAGGAGTCTTATATATTTCACTCTTTGTGGGCAAAGTTGTTAGCCAATGTCAGTTGTCCCATTTTGAGTTTCTTATAACTGTAGTTGTTCATCCTGCTGGGATAATAAGAGAAGCAGTGTGGTCTAAAGTTGAAACTGTATTTCTGTTACCAAAGCTCAGGTTTTCTTTGCTGACAAGTCATACATACTGTGGCCTTGGTCACGTGTAGGCATTCTACTTCTGATCTACACAACACATTCCCCATTTCTTTATCTTTCACACTATACTATAAGCTCTTATTTGAGTGCTTTCACATGTATTCCTATTTATATTTCAGTCAGACCAATCTTAAATATTTTTCTAACGATTTCTACATGTCGTAGATGGGAGGATATTGAAGGGTCTTTGTCGCTTATCCTTCTTGAGAATTTGGTGGTGGGAGCTGGCTACCACATGCAAACTTGCTTCTACCATGCTGGAGAAGAGCTGTGTCTCTTCTCTGCTGTGGCACTTGCCCTTTTTTAGTGCTTTACTTGTAAATCCTCTTGAATACTAGTGCAATAAGAGAAGTGTGATTCCTGGTGAGATGCACCATAACTCACCTTCATTTGTACCTTTAGGGCAGTAAAGATCATCTGCTGCTTCTTATTCCTTCCTGATAATATTGCCTGGAGACAGCATTTCTACAGTTTGTGCTCCATCCTCATTTGTTCATAGAGAGATTTTCAGTTTCTAGGGAATTGTACTTTGACTTGTGGTTGAGATTAAACTGGGAAGTGGCTGCTTAGTGCCTCTGATTGGATCTTTGAGCACCAGAAGGAGCACCAGTGTGCAAGGCAATGGACTTTCAAGCCCACATCATGGTCATTGGCACTTGAGTTGGGTGACTTTGAGAACTCAAGCTTGTTGTGGGAGTATTCCAGATCCTGTGGATCATCTCTGTTATCCAACAGATGTTTTCAGCTCTTTCAGTAGGGCAGTAATTGCTTTTTCTTTACCTTTTTTTTTTATTGTTATTTTTCTCATTTCAAAGGGCAAAAGCACAGGCCCTGGTGCATTCTCTCTCTCTCATCATGGTGGATGCGTCACTGGGAACAATACAGTGCTTAGAGGAAATAGTGAGTATTTGCCTTGCCTGGGTTTGGATTGTGTATCTGTTTTATTAAAATGGTAGTCATTGCAGATTATATCTTTACTTTGAAGTTCATTCTCCTTTGCCTCTCTCTAGTTTTTTAATTGAATTCCTTTTGCAGATCTCAGAGTTTGTGCAGAAAGACGAAATAAAGCCGGCTGTGACCCAGCTGCTTTGGGAACGATTCACAGAAAAATCTCCATGCTCATCGCTCGAACGCCGCGCTGCTGTGATGCTGCTGGGGATGATGGCACGGTGAGCCTGGGGCCAGGTCGAAGCCTGTGAGTGGAAGGATGTACAGGGAGTCAATTTTTATTGAAGAACTGTGGGTGCTGCATCAGCTGACTCTCTGGCTGTAGCTTCAAAAATAGAAACCCTATCATGGGGTAATGAAGCCTGGAACTAACGTAGTTGTGCTGGATCCCACCAGCGTAGCCTCTGAAGGATTATGATGAGATTATTTTCCCTGTGTGAATGCCCATCCTTCCCAGAATTTAGAGTGTCACAACTCTGCAGCTTTGTCTGTGTTTGGATAAGAACAGTGAGAAGCTGCTGAGTAGAGATGTCTGGAGCCTTTAGCATGAAGAAAAATGAATGTTTCACTTTCTGGGGGCAAAAAAAAAAATACCTGCACTAAAAGGTTTTCATTTCCTCAATTTATCAGCCCAGTAACCCTTTGGCATTCAGCTTACCTGCTCTTCTTGCTGTTCTTACTTCAGTCCTTCCTATGTCAGGAACAGGTCTGCATAATGGTGATCCTAAAGTTCTTTCACAGGCAGAAAGGGGAATGGGTGGGTGTGGATTAGGGATTGGCTTTTTTTGGATAATGTTGGTTTGGCTTGGTTTGTTTCCCACAGTAGGGGAAGGAATGGTATATGTCACAAGTCCTGAGCTCCTGGACTCTTTCTTACTTTCCAACATTTTTGTTTTTCTTACCCCTGTAAGTTTTGTCCTTTCTGATAGGAAAGAAGAGTCAAGAATCTTCTTTCTTTACAAAGAGGCTGTGCCCACTGTTGATCACTTTGGAGAAACTCATCTCCTAGTGGAGAGTGGATTACACTGGCTTCTGTGGAATATTGCTTGCTGCTCCTCTAGCTGTATCTCAAGTCATTTGGATGGGTTTTATTTTTTCCCTTCTTATTCAAACCACTCCCTTCCACAAGGCACGAGGAGTATTTCTCTTGGTTACCCATGCTTCTGTAAACTTTCAGCAGCACCTCATGTGATGTCCCCATCCCTTCCATTCCACAGAGGGAAGCCAGAGATCATAGGTAGCAACCTGGACGTTCTGGTGACAGTGGGGCTGTCTGAGAAGGCATGTGAAGATTATAGGCTGCCTCAAGAAGTATGCTATGTTATTTCCAAGCTTGCCAGTAACCCTAAGGTAAGGCTCTGAGTTTGTTCTTGAGATCATCCAGAAACAAAGAAAGGGGGAAAATTGTTCGTGTGGAGGAGGAGAGAGGTAATTAATTTTTTACAGATTTTGAGATTAAGTAGGTTGAGTCCATTTAGCAGCACTGTCTGGAAAGCTTATCACACATCAGTGAACATGTAATAAAAGAATTTTCATTAGGCAACAGGCTGAATTCAATTAGTAAAGAGTTCAGTGCACAAGAAAATATGTTTTCCTTTCAATTCTCTTCTTCAGACTCCCAATTCTGAACTGATTTGTGTTTTCTCAACCATGAAGCCCTTTACTCTACTGATGTTTTCTGGTGGTGTGATTCTTTTGCCTTCCCTATTAATTGATATTCAGGAGTTGTCAGCTGTACAGCAGAATATAAAACATGAAAGGTTTTCAAACCTGTCCATGTTGTACTTAGAACAACATGATAATGGCTTCTTTCGCTGGGAAACAATTTATACTTTTTTTTTTTAATGCATTTGGAAAAAAATCTGTTTTTTTGACTCAGTCATTTGGGGCATTTTGGTTCAGAAGTTCTATTACAAAGGCAGTCCTTCACAGAGCAGTATCATTTTGTGACAGCCCCTTCCTCAGGGGATGTTGCTACATGAACTTCATGAGTTAATGTGTATCACAACATTCTTAAATATACTAAAGATGGCTATAATTCAATTTTTAGTTGACTTAAGTCTGCATTTACGCTTGTATGTGAAAAGGGATGAACTGAAAATATTTGACTGTCTGACTGGCAGTAACTCTTCTCCCCCCACCCCTCCTCCCAACCAGAAATTCAGTACAGAGAACAGGATTGTGGTGAATCAGGAATTCTTGTTCCTAGCTACTGAAAGCTGGTAAATCCTCAAGTAAATTCTGTTTTGTTCAAGTAAATATCCATCAGGCAGGCACAGGTGTGGTGGGACACCTCAGGTATTGTCATACTTGGTTTAGTAGTTCTCTAGGTTATCTTATTCCTAACCTAAAAGATTATGTGACTGATACAGAATGTGTGCAATAACCTAAGTGGGAGGTGGTCTTGGATCCAGACCTATCCTGTGTTATTTCCACTGATGGTATTTTGCTTTTAAACAAACCCATCTGGTTCTGGAGTACCAGAAGGCAAGTTGACTTACTGTTGATGACTCTTAGATGCTCCAGAGGTTTCCCTTTTCATTTATTGCAGAGAGTGAGTAAATAATACCAGATTTTAAATTAGTCCTTTTGACATTTCAGGAGAATTATTTTGCTTTTAAGGTAAGGTGGCGGAACTGCCTGGGTTGGCCTGGGATCATCATTTGGCCAAGCTTTAAATCCACCCAGTGTAGTCACCGTGCTGTCACAAGTGACAGCAATGTCCCTGCTGCATGTTTAGCTGCAGAGCAGTACTGCATGTCCCTGGCATAGGTTTGATTAACACTGTGCACACAGGAAGGTGAAGTCCTGGGAAGGGCGTGGGGGGATCTCATGTGCTGCTCCCATGGGAGTAACTCACCTGCTGTTTTTGCAGCCAGCACTGGAGAAGAGCAGTGCCCCTTTTCGACTGCCACAGAACCACATGCTCTTTGGTTGCCTGAGTGAGACTGTGAGTAAAGGTGAGCCCAGGTCAGCAGGAGGTTTGGAGGAGGTGGGGTTGGGCTGCAAGACCACCTGTGTTACCATTGGTATGTGTGGGTACATTGCTCCCTCTTTTCATCAGGCTTTGCCCAGCCAAGCACTCACTGGATCCCCTTCATGGAGGCAGCTGTAACACTCATCTACCAGCTGGCAGAAGGGGCAGAGGAGATCTGTGCTGACATCCTGCATGTGTGCACTCAGCAAGCTCTGGAGAAGCTGCAGGACGCTGATGAGCAGAAAGCTGGTGAGGAAAAAAGCTGATGAAGGAAATCTGTACCTATGGTTTCCAGAGCTGCTTTGGGTGGCCTTGAGTAACTGCAGGAGGACAGAGCTGAGGGGCTTTGTGGAAGTGTTGACACAGGAGGGCATGAGTGCTGTGAAGGAGTCTGTGGAGTGTGAAGATGGGTTATACAGTGAGACTTGGCACTAACTAATGGGGAAGAGATCTAGATCAACACTGAACTATGGTCATTTCTCTCCTTTAGATGCAGGGGATGCTCCGAGCAGAGTCTCTGATGGTGCTGGCAGTCTCCCCACATTCCTGCTGTTGCACCTGGTATCCCTTGTGGGACAGGTGGCACTGCAGCAGGTAGCATATTTGGAAGTGTCTGTGAATACAGAGCTACGCAGACGTCGTGTCCTCAAAGAGGAGAAGACCAAGAAGCAATCTGACACAAGCATAAAGAAGCAGAGAGCGCAGGTTAGAACCAAGGGGTTTTTTTCCTATAGGCAGCTCTTCTAGTGTCCCAGCAAACTTCTGGAGTAATGCAATCCTGAGGTTGCATAAGGTACAGGGCGATGTGTGCTTCAGGAATAGAAACAGACACATACTGGTCAGGATTGACAGGGAGCACTGAGGTCCTTGAAAGACCCTATTCACTAAAACTCCCACACTGGTCTTGAGTTTTGAAGAGGCAGAGGGTAGGGAGTGAAAGATGATGTCCTGGCCATGTTTATCCTCTTGCTTTAGCCAAACATTCCCCTTTCACTCATCACCTTCTTCCTTATCAGTGCAATCTTTTGCAACTGATGCAGTAGTGGTGAAGAACATCCATTTGTGCCCTGAGTTCTGGAAAAAGGCTTCCTAGAACCCCAGTTCAGAAGATTTGAGAGTCCTGTCCTCTGTTAGGTAGTAATGATCAAGGTTTAACAGTAGTCTTTCTAATGTGATTTGGATGCTACAAATTCCCTGTTTGGTTAGGTCTGCCTAGGAATGTTTTTCAAAGTGTAATGAGGCTGACTTTCCTGGGTAAGAATAGAGAAAAATGTTGTGTCCATCTAGGTATCCAGTCTCTATTAGATGCTTATACTGCTAAGTCTACGGAGAACTTTGTAGTTCATTCCTTTATCCACAGTATCACTACCATTTTCCACACAGGAGGTTATTATCAGATTTTCAAAAAAGTAGCAGTTGGATACAGATTTGGTCCCCTTTGCAATGCCCTTTCTTCCCTTGTGTTGCTTTTTATTTGCTGTAAGGTTTCCCATAGTCTTGCTTACAAAACCGGGAATTCAAAGGCTGCTTTGAGCTTCTTGCTATTAGTATTTGAATGTCCTTTAAGCTGTGTAGGTCTCACATACTGATGCTGGATGTCTCCTAGGTCTGTTTTATCTTAGTAGTGTCAGTAGTTTAAGCTTCCTTAACGTTCTGGGCACCTCACTACAAGACAGACATGGAGATCCCGGACCAGGTCCAGTGGAAGGCAATAAAGATGATTAAGGGACTGGAGTGTCTCTCTCAGAAGGAAAGTCTGAGAGAGCTGGGCCTCTTATAAGCCCCAAGACTGAGAGGGGACCTCATCAATGTCTGTAAATATTTGAAAATGGGGTGCCAAGATGATGAAGCCAGACTGTTCTTGTTGGTGCCAAGCACTAGGACATGAGGCAATGGGCAGAAACTGCTGCACAGGAAGTTCCACCTGAATATGAGGATGAACTTCTTTACTGTGGGGGTGACCAAGCACTAGAACAGGTTGCCCAGACAGGTTGTGGAGTTTCCCTCACTTGAGATACTCAAGAACCATCTGGACACAATCCTGTGCAATGTGTTCTCTAGGAAGACCCTGCTGGAGCAGGAAGGCTGAACCTGATGACTCACTGCAGTACCTTCAAACCTAACTGTGGTCCTGGGATTGGTGTTCTGTAGCATGTGGACTGGCAAATCCCAGACTACCCTTCACAGCTTCATTCAGTTCTTTGGGGAAAGTGGGCTATTACTCTGTTCTGCACTTTAGTTGTGCTGCTGGTAACATGCAATATACCTCACACCTGAGAGAAGAGAACCATGTGAAGAAAGAGGTTACTGTTGCCTGACATCTTTCTTACACTATCCTCTCTGCACAGAGCACAGGGAATGAGACCACTATGGAGGAAGAGCTGGGCCTTGTGGGAGCCACAGCTGATGACACCGAGGCCGAGCTCATCCGCAGTATTTGTGAGACAGAACTTCTAGACGGTAAGTGTGGCTGTCACCGAGGAATCCTGGCTGTCTGCCTGTGTGAAAGAGCAGGTACAGTGGGTAACAGGTCCTGAAGGAAGAAGGCTGTTTCCTTTGGAAGGAAACACTGTCATTTTCCGTGGTGTCAGCTTCCATGTAGGCTGTCTGTTTCTTGGTTCTGCCTTTCTGGAGGTGGCTGTTCAGTGGTGAAAGTAAGTCAGCTGGGAACTGTAGTTTGCAGTAGCTCTGGGATAATTTTTATTAGAGCAGGATGCACAAACAGTGCTCTCATGCTCACTGTCTTTATCCCCACTCTCCAGGGAATCACCTGTTCTCCGCCTTTGTCCCACTGGTGCTGAAGATCTGCAACAACCCTGGACTCTACAGTGACTCGGCGCTGTCAGCTGCCACAGCCCTCACTCTTGGCAAACTCTGCATGATCAGGTACTGCTGAGCCCTGCCAGAGTTCTTTTCCCTGTCTTCCCAGTACTAAAGCACAAGCAAATGCTGCAATTCCTTTCCCAAGGAAAGAACAAACACAAAAGAGTGTTCATAGATCGCGCTTTTTTTTTTAACTGGTTTTTCTTCTCTACTCTCTGAGAGATGGAATTTTGTTATCTATCCCTTCTTTCCTGTACCCTGTCTTGTTAGCTCTGAGTTCTGTGACTCCCACTTGCGTCTGCTGTTCACGATGATGGAGAAGTCCACCCTGCCTGATGTGAGGTCCAACCTCATTATTGCAGCAGGAGATCTAGCCATCCGCTTCCCCAACCAGGTGGAGCCTTGGACATCGCATCTCTATGCCAGGTAATGCCACTCTCATTGCTGGGAGAGGACATGTGACAAAACCCTATAGAAGGGTGACACTGGGTCTCCAGAAGGTGAGAATGATCCAAGAAAATTTGAGGATGCTGGCACAGGGAGACAGAGCTTTGGGCTGTCACAAGTACCAATAACTCAGAGACACTCCCTTGCTGCTTTCTGCAGTAACTGTTTGCTCCTGTCAGGTTGCGGGACCCCTGCCCAAGTGTGAGGAAGACAGCTGGGCTGGTGATGACTCACCTCATCCTCAAAGACATGGTAAAGGTGAAGGGCCAAGTGAGTGAAATGGCAACTCTGCTCATAGACCCAGAAGAAGAAATCATGGGAGTGGCTCAGAACTTCTTCAGTGAACTCGCCAACAAGGCAAGTGGATGCTCAGGGACCTTATTTCACAAGAGCAGGGAAGGGCTGTTGGAGGCTGGATCAATTACATGAGTCTTGGAGAAGGTGTGTTAATGGTGTAGAGCCATTGGTCTGTCTCTTTGTGGACTAAATAAGGGTGGTTAAAAGAAATTTTGCAATACAAGTTTTGCTTCATCCCTGCCTGATGTTGCTGAGTTTGACCTCATCCATTCACACTGGAAGGCAGGCTCCAAACCACTGCCTTTTCCCTTTGTTTTCTTGGGTATGCCCAGCACATGGTTAGGAGGGGTTTTCTGTAGCTCACCTTTAGGCCTTACAGCAGAATTCCCTGACCTTATGGCTCAAGCAGTGCACCTTCTCTGGAACCTTTCTGAGTTGTTCTTGGCTGTGGGACACTGAGGTACTTAAATTGTAGCAGTTTCTGCCCAAGCAGGTAAGAACAGGAGCAGTGTTACCCTCAGTATACTGTTCGTTCCATGTGCAGCCTCACATGGGCGCTTCAGTGTTTGAGATTTACTGCCTGAGAGACTGCAGTGACACCAGGGCTTTTCTGTCTCACTCTGCTTTGCTAAAGCAGAGCTGCCCACCTGACTGTACCAACTTCCTATCTCTGCAGTGTGTATCACAAAGCTGTGGAAAAACAGTAGGAAAGAGAATGTGGATTGAACCTTTTCAGGCAAGGTGGGAAGCAGTTCCATGAACTGAAGGGCAGTTTCCTTTATCAGGAAGCTTTTTTTTGTTGGGTTGTGACAAGGTTGGAAGGCAAAGAAACTGTATCCAAGACTGCCAAAGAGCAGAGTTGGGGTGCAGTGTTCGGCTTGTTGGTTGGCTGAGTTTTTTCCCCCAGCCAAACAGTCCTGAGTTTGTATGGCTGTGAACATCTTGTTTCAAGCACTTGATACTTTCAGTCAGCATATTTGGAGTGGAGAGAAAGGAGGTCATTTTAAGTGGGCAGTTTATTTGGCTTGGCTCAAATTATCTTTTATAATTCTGTATCTCATGTATAAACTTATGTTCTGCACAGGGTAATGCTGTCTATAACCTGCTTCCAGACATCATCAGTCATCTCTCAGATCCTAACAGTGGCATAGAGGAGGAATCCTTCCACACTATTATGAGGTATTCTGAGGTTAAATAAATCTCTTTTTGCCAGGACTATGTTTATGCAAAGGGAATGCCATGTCGAAGGAAGAAAAACTACACTGACATGTACAAAATGCTTTTTCAGTTCTCTTTGATTAGACTTTTTCAGTCTGTACTGTAAATGGAGTCACACTGAGGGGAATTGATTTTAAAACCACATGGTTGGGGGTGAGGAGAGACTCTACAAAGAATTACCACTAACTCAAAATTACTTTCCCTCTAGAAAAGGAAAATAGTTGGTTTTACGCATGGGAACATGGATATGCAACATTATGAAAACACAACAGGTTTTAAAGACTGCTGCCTTTGTAATTTTGGTGGCTACTGGAGTTTTGTAAGCAGTTTTAGTGAAGCTGTAATTGCAGTAACAGGTTTGGGTCTGGGATGGCTTTCTGGTGGTTTGTTTTGTGGGGCCTTTTTGTTGTTATTTGGTTTCAGTTTTTTTTCAAGAATGCTTGACTGGAGTGTAGAGATATTAGAGTATTTCAGTCTGAGGTTATTGGTTGCTCATAGACAGTACTAATAATGTCTTTAACTTAACCACATGAGGGTTTTTCTGAGTTGTTTGAATCTCTGTGGATTATAGAGGGGGGTGTTAGACAAAAGTATTGCTGTTGCTGAAGAGAACAATAAAACCTCCTGTGAATTTTCAACTAATCTTTCTATCTATGAGAATCCAGTGCATGTAGGAAGAGGGATGGGATTTTGCACAGGTAGGAATTACAAGACACAGGAAAGGTCTATTAGTGAGGGTGTAATTGAGACTTTATTAATTTACGGTGGCAAAAATAGATGGATTTTTGCTTCAGCTTTAATTAAGGAGTGTAATGTGAAATACTGGGAATTAGTGCTTGTGGCTCCTGACAGCACATGTAGAAGTGGAGGTTAATGTCTGAAGTGAAGCAAACCATCACAGGAAGACAGGAGGCAGCATGTAGAAAAATTCCAAATAATTTTGGAATTTTCAGTACTGTTTTTAATTAATATCAAACTGGAGGTGCTACCACAGACATGGAGCATAGTAAGTGTAGTAATTGCATTAAAGTGTGATTGGTGGGGTTAAGACAGGTGTAAGATGGACTTTTGACTTCCAATAACATACATGGAGAGAACTGGAGGTGTCTGTCAAATAAGAGGTGGTATTGATATAACAATGTAGACAGGTATCAAATTAGTGTAAAGAAAATTAATTTTAAAGACCTGATCATCAGTTAACACACCACATATCCTCTAAAAAGGGAAAGAAGGGAATTAGTAGTTGAAACTGAACTATTTTCCCACACATCATTATATTAAATGCTTACATTGTGGAGAGGATCAGGTTTAACTTGGAAACCATGGTGGACAAAAGCACAGGCTAGGAATGAAGCAGTGCCTTATGCTCCAGGGATACTTACCAAACTGGAGAATGGGGAGGTGTAAAAAAGGGTAGTGGGGGGACCATCACTGTTAAAGGACTAACTTTGGAGAGTGAGAGAGTTACAGTAATAAAAACTGAGATGAAAACTAGCAGAATAAAGTATAAGATTGAATGCTTAGAAGTTGTTTAACGTCTTCTGGCTAAAGTTAAAGGTACATGCCACTTTCTGCTTTAGTGGCCCAGTTTTTTCTGGTAGAGGGAAGCATTGGCAGTGCTGGTGACACCTTGCCACTGTTCTGGTCACTTAAGTTAAAGATGAATTGATGCTGGAACAAATGCAAAGGGAGGACTCTTGAGAATGCTGTGTCTGTTATGTATCTTAGAAAAGCAGCTCGGTGTGGTGGTTGTAGACATAACAAAAACAGAATAAGGAGGTGTTTTAGAACAATTATATCAAGGCCAGTGGCAACCTGACTGAGCTTAAGTTGACAGAAATGTTGGTACAAGAAAAAGAGAGCAGCAGGACCTTCTTAATAAATAAAGTTATTCAGTGATTTCTAAGAGGACATAGTGCAAAATGCACAAGTGCCTAATTGTGCTAAAGTCCAGGTGTCCCTGTTCCTCAAGAAGCTAAGGAAAAATGGATCAGGTTAGCATTTAAGTTCTGTTAAGCTTTGTTCCTGTTTTAGTGCAAAGTAGTGCTCACTTTTGCATTGATCCAAAATGCAACAACACACTTTCAGCAAATTAGTAGTGAAAAAAGTCACAAGCATGGTTCTGAGGGGAGAAAATACTGCATGCCACAGTGCTCCCCTCAAGGTTTGCTTGGTGCACACCAGTCTATCAGTGCAACTTGTGAAGTGAGGAGATTGTCTGGAGGAGCTGCATGCTCTTAAAACTGGATGGAAGCAGCAGATAAGAAGTCAGCACTGCTGCCTTTTCAGCACCCCTCCTACCTGAAATAGGGATTCCTCTGTGGGCTCTAATATTTTGCTTTTTTTTTTTTTTTTCCTTGCAGACATCTGTTCTCATATATTACAAAAGACAAACAAACAGAGAGCTTGGTGGAGAAACTTTGTCAGAGATTCCGGACTGCCAGGTGGGTTGCAATCCTGATTTTCCTGCCAAGTGCTTCTGCTTCTTGGGATTTTTCAGAAGAAATGAGCTTGTATGTGGTGGTTGTAAAAGGTTCCCATTATATTCTTCATGTGCCAAAGTGACAAATGCAATATCGCTTGGTTTAAGTCCCCCTTTTTTTAACTACCTTCTGCTAAAAATATATGAATACTTGTAAATTAAGGTTTCTGGTTTTACTGTGCAGTGATTGACCCCCCCACTCTTCCTTCCTTTTTGTAAGGAAAAAGTTTTGTGATAGTCTAGATCTGTATTATAGCTGAGCAAGGAGACATGCCACAAGTGAATTTTACACCTTTGTGATCCTTCTCCATGGGCTATTCTCTTGGAGCTCAGCTAGGAAATTAGTGTGTTCAGCTGAGAAGTTGGGATCCCTCCAGCAGTCCTGTCTGGGGTGATCTCAACTATCATGCTGATATAGGCCTGTCTTTGTTCTGTGTGCATGGGCTGCTCAGTACCAAGTTGATGCCTGAACTCTGTTTTGGTTTCTTATTATTATTATTTTACCTAAGTGCTTGTACCACTATACACTTTGGCTTTTGCTCTGCTCCATCTCCAAGATGTGCATGCCTTGCTTGTGCATTGCTGATTACAGAATGCAGGATCCATGCTGTGAATCTGGGATATCATTTTGCTTTCTGGGTTTTGGGGGTTTTTTTGCTGCTTTTCCCCCAGTTCCCAAGCTGTAATTTCACTGACCCAGGCGTACACTTTTTGTTTCCTTCCAAGAAGAATACTAACAGAAATTTATCTTCTTCCCTGTCATGTACATCCAGTGAGATATTTTCATTTTCACTTCCACTGCCTTTGGTGTACCCTGGTTTCCTCCATTCCTGTGGTTTTCCTTCACCACTGTCGTGGCTTTGCCCTTGAGGTTTAAGCTGTCTGCTTATCTTGGCCATATGTGCACAGTGCCTGGGCATGTGACCTGCTCAGCTGCCTCAGGGAGTTGCATATTTCCCAAAATATTTGGATTTTGTCTCCTGAGCAGGAGTGGAGAGTGGTCCCTAAAAGTGGAAAACACCTGGATGCTGCAGCTTTGTTCTCCATCTGTCTAGGTTTGAGCAGAGCATCCTGAGACAGCATGTGCTGGACAGACTTGAGGCCCTCACTCTGCATATATTAAAAATAGGGGCTTTGGCCTTGCTTTTCCCCTCCCATTCCATCACAGCGATCTACATTAGTGATGTTAGTCTGTGCTTTTGTTTTTCCTTCCCTTTGGTTTTATTCCAGTAACTTTTGCTGGAATTTGAATGTCGTTCTTCTCTGATACAGCGTTTGTTATTTGTTGACTTTATAACTTAATGAATGTAACCTTCTTTATGTAACTAAACAGGAAAGGGAGAGAGAACATCAAATACAGCTTCTGCTTGAGATCATCTCAAACATGCAAAAATGAACAGCTGGGGGGCTGTTATGTGGTTGAAATAAGGCCCTTCAAGAGGAGTCCTGACCTCACTGAGTCTTGTCCTCCTGGTCAGCAATAACTTCTGACACTTCTCAAACAAATGACTGTATTCTTTAGCAGTGGAGCCTTCATGTTTCCCTGACAGGCACTAAGTGTTGTGGAATAGAGTAGTTGTTGTGTGTGGTATGGCACAGCACCCTGCTGCTGACCGGTAACAGAACAATCCAAATCTCACAGTTCTGCAGGGCACATGCAGGAAATGCTGGTAGTTGTGGGTGACATGTGCTCATCCTCACACACCCCTTTTTGTAGAAGCTAATGGTAATCTTTGTCTTTCCCAGGACTGAGCGTCAATATCGGGATCTGTCCCACTGCCTTACTCTGCTTCCAGTCTCGGAACGGGGCCTTCACAAGCTGCAGGATAACTATGACTGCTTTGCAGACAAGCTCCAAGATCCAGCTGTCTACAATTGTTTCCAAACTGTGCTGGCTCGATTCCGCAGAGCAGGCATCAAACCTGAGACTAAAGTAAGGGTGTGGGACAAGGGTCCAGGCCAGAAAAACAATTGCTTTTTACATACAGTGACTGGGAAGCCATGCAGTTTTTCATTTACAGCAGACTATTCCTCACCCCTAACAATTTATCAATTTATTTATTTAACTTGATGGCAATTCTGCTATGGATGTAGTACTTCTCTCCCCTCATCTCTCTTAATTTTTCCCCCCTCCACTGCTGTTTTACATCTCCATCAGGCTCTAGCTGAAGAGCTGGAGCAGAAGCTGTCTGCCTCCCATAACCGAGGACTGGATTCAACAGAGATATGCCAGGATGGTAGTCAGACTCCAATGCCAGTGCCAGCCAAGCGGAAACCAATAGGAAGTACGTTCCTTTTTGTGAGATTCCTACCTTCTTGCAGTCTAGAAAAACACCTAAGGACTCCTCCTTGTCCTTACAGACAGAAGTTTGTTGCCTTTCTCTATTTCTTTTCCCTTTTTCTTGACAGGTTCACGCCGCCAGCCTCTAAGCCCGGCCAACACAGATGACGATTTTGTCACACCCCCATCCCGCACCCTCCGAAAGCGTGCCCAAAAGCGCCATCCACGCAAAAAAACCACCATTACCTTCTCCAGCGATGAGGAGAACAATTCTGAGGATGGTAAGGCACTGCATACCTGTGCTCAAAGCAGGGAAGGACTACAGATCTGGCCCAACAGGGATGTCCCTTTGGTCATGGGCTTCAGACCGCTGTGGAGGTTGCCTGTAGATTTCTGTGCTCAAGGCAGTGAAGTGCTCATTACTGACACATTTTACTCTCTTTAGAGCTATCAGCACAATTGAGAGAGGAAGAAACCCCCACCAAAACAACTCCCATCACCAGATCTTCAGCCCGACGGCTGCGCTGAGGGAACCATCTGCCACTGCCTTTAACTAAAAATAAAACTCCCTTTATGCAACAGTCGCCTTCTCTTGTCTGAACTGGCCCATAATACAACAGTGCTTTAAATGAGGACAAAATGGACATTAACACCAGGCTAAAGCAATTCCAATCCTTTCTTCTGATATCTCCACAAAGAAAGGCAGTGATGATGAACATAGTTGCCACTTGGACTGATTTTGCCCTGGCTTTGCAGATGAGAATAAGCTGCTCTTATTAAAATTTTTTAAAAAAAGAAAAATCTTTGGAAGAAAGTCTTTCTTAAGAAGACTGCAAACTACCCACAGAGTACAAAACGCTCATTCCTTTCTCATTTTATAGTATGTGCTTTATACTACACTATTCAGCTTTTAACACGGGACCAATGCGGTTGTACTGGGTTTAGGCCCTTTTATTTTTCATCCTTTTTGACGCTCTTGTCCTGTAAAGCCAAGCAGGGTTTTGAGGGGAAGGTACCTGGATCTTTTTCTTGTGCATATCTTATCGAAGAAGTGTTCAAGGAGTGGGGTGTTAGGAGAAGAAGAGAGAGAGAGAGAGAGAGAGGCTAACTTAGACTAGAGCACTTCAATAATCAATAGGAAGGAAGGTCCATAGGAAAAAAAAATCTTTTAAAAGCTAAAAAAACAAAACAAATCCAACACTAAAACTTAAGAAGTAACTTGTAATAATGCTAATTTGATAAGTTACTAAGTATACTGATAGCCTTGATTGTCTTACTGCTGTCTGGAATGTATTTGTTGCAAATCAAATTATGTTTCAAATAAAATTGGCACTTAGATTTTTTCCTTTCACAAATGCCACATCAGTTTTCAAGTCAGTCCTGGCACTCCTTAAACTGCCCTGTGAACATGAAGTACCCCAAATAAGATTTTGTGTTAATCACATAAATAACCTTTAACCTTCTGTCTAGAGGCAAGTTGGCATTTGTCCCAGAGCTCTTTCTACAGAATTATTTCCTCTTACCTTGTCAGCTGCCTAGAAAGCAGACTAGTCACTAGCTGGGCAGGAATGGGAAGGGTCGTCCTCCTCTCCAGTCCTTCTGCAGATCTGTAGTCTCTGTCTTTGAGACAACCTTCCCGCAGTTATGGTCACCCTGGGTACACCCAGCAAGTAGAACATGCTGCTCAGTTCCCTTCTGCTCTGGCTGCAGAAGTAGCTGTTGTAGCTTATTTTGATCCCTATTTAAAAAACCAAATCATTAGGAAGTGCATAGCTTTGTGCTAACCTGAGCATATGGTTTTTCATGCTGATACCTGAATGGACATAATCATGTTAAATGCTTCCAGAAACAAGTAGAGGGGGAAATGATGGGGTGACAGGTGTATTTATAAACACCCCATTGAGTCTCATGCCTCAGTGAAAATACCTGCCCACTAATCACCAGCCTAATAGCCAAATACCAATACAGATATGCTCCAACTCCAGAGCATGCCAGTAGCCACAGGACAATCATGTGAAATACAAAGATCAGAAAGCTACAGCAATATTCCTCCTTCCTGATAAAATATTCAGTGAAGGCTCCAGGAGGCAAAGGTAGCAGCTACAGCATTGACAGTAACTACAGCACAGAGTCATGCACACCATACGTGATTCCCTCACCACCCACAGGGTATGACACTCATACAGGAATAAATAAAGGACAGCATATACGGATGTCTGCCCAAGCTCAAGGTTTTACAAGCAGTAAGTCTTGTGTAGATGTGAGATAATATGTTGCCAAGCTGCAGTAGGGGAGATATGAGTAGATAGAGGAAGTGAGGTGGCCATAAAACTCTTAAACATTGGCTCACCTTCAGGCCATGCTTTTCCACTACAAATGGTTGAACTTTTTCCTTCAGGAGTTCCACACAGTCACCTTCCTGGAAGGAGCAATCAGTGACTGGACTGACATGCTGGCTCCTTCACTGTTCTGCAATCTGTCCTTTGCTCAGTCCCAGGCACTATGCTGCCTGGGAAAGTGGGAGTGAAAAGTCAGTGAGAGCTCTGGTTGGTCCTCCTCTGCAGGTTGGTCAGGTGGAGCATCCTCCGCTTCTCACTGTCCTCTCCCGATACAGGAAGAATTAGGAGTCCTGTGTTATGGACAAAGGAAGTCCTGAAGAAAGATGAGGTAAAACTCAAGAGGGGTTTGGGCAGCTATATAGTGGCTACAGCCTTAAGTAGATAATTGCTGCCCTACTGTTCCTCACAAACGTATATTTTGGTGGCTGCCACAATGACCATAAATCACTGCTGAAGGAGTAATCCCACTCGCTTGTATTCTGAGGCAGTGGGACTCCTCAGTGCCAGGTTCAATAGTGTTTCCATTCTCTAGGGACTCCTGATCATGGTTGCTCTGAAATCCTACAAATGGTGGAATAATGTGAATATTGTACACTTCTAGAGCTTGCAGCAACTATCATCCCTTTCTATCACCCTGGGCCAAGGGGTGTTCCCTCAGTACTTTGCTCAGTTCCCAGATCTCCCAGTCTCCAGTTACCCTGCTCCTTTCCTATATAAGCAACTGTTTGTAGAAGGCTGACTGTGATTCAGCAGCAGACCACTTTTCTGGTCTTGCAAGCTGTAGAGTCAGTTCCCCAGCATCCAAGGGGGAAGGGTTTTTATAAGGGAAACTTGTTAGCATCAGAGAGGAAAGAAGGACAATAACCTATTTGAGTCTGAGAAAACTGGGGCAATCGAGGACTTGTCTGCCAAAGCCTTTTCACTTCACAGTCACTGCCAGGACATGTCAGAGTAACTATTCAGTTCTACTGCAGTCCCAGCAAGGATCTGGGACGCGGAGCAGCTGCAATATCACGGCACCTGAGTTACCGAGCACCTGCATTTTATCCAGGCGTTGCTGGATTTTCAAGAACTTACAAGAATCTACAAGAAAATTTGCAATTTTTCTGCAGTCTCTGAAGTTTCTTGCTTAATATGGGAGAGTGATGGCTTTTTCCCTCTTGCCAGCCCCAGCTCTTGCTGAACCCAAGGAGGGCACTTGTCATTTGAGATCTCAAAGCCTGTCCGCCCCTTCAGGGCTCAGTCTTTGTGCAAGTGGACTGGAATTCTGAAGCAGTTGCAAACACATTTCTGGCATTCTTGTTGCAGTATGGGGGCCACCCCATTCAAGTGATGCAAGATCAAACTGCTGCTACATTTCATATCAAAACCAAAGCATGTTGCTTTTGCACTTACCTTTCACTCAGGAAAGGACTGACTGACTCATGTCACCGGTACTGTTCCAGCAGAGCTGCTCCTGCCGGCAGCAGGAGTGCTCGAGCACACTGACTCAGCTCTTTCTGGATGGCCACATGTGACTGGGAAGTACAGAACAGCATCCTCTGGGACACCTTGCACGCAGCATGAGCATGTGCTTACCTCCTGTCCTTCTTCTCTTTTCCATCCCTCTGAAACTTTCACACCACACAGCCCCTTACACTACCGCATCCAGCACAAGGAGGGGCTGGCTGATGCGGGAATGCGCACACATCCCGTACCTCGTTTGTTCCAGGCACCCCATCTGAATGCCCACATAGGGTGCGTGTCCTGTGACTGTCCAGCAGTCCCCTGTGCTTTGTAGATTCAAAGGTTGGTATGAAAGTAATCCTGTTTCCCACAAAATGTCTCCAGGGAGCCTTGGGAGGCCCTCCATGTGCTGGCCCAGGTGACAGGGTGACAGGAAAGCCAGACAGGATCACCAGAGCATCACATTGCTCCGGACACAGCACCAGCCGTGGGTTACAGCCGTCAGCTGGACGTCAAAACTGAATGTCCACAGCTGTGCAAAGCACTGCTTCCGGCATCAGCACTCCAGACTGAAGGCCCATACTTGCTTCTCATGAACTGGATGCAAAAGGTTCGTAAAAATTTCTGTCTCCTTGGGCAGAGAAGAAATGGACCCACAAACCTGCAACTGCAAGTGCAAAATGCCTGGAAGGAAGAAAGGGAGGGAGGGAAGGAGGGAGAGACAGAGCAAGTATCTGAACTGTGACTTTTGTTTTCTCTGGAGAAGAGGTTTTTCTAATTTTCTTCTTTCTTTGAAAAAAATAAAAGCAGACAGCAGAACATGTTCTGTCAAGTTCTGACCCAACTGTTTTGTGCAGCAGTACTGAACAAAGGGAAGTTTGGGGTGTTGTTAAACTCTCCCAGCACACCCACTGCTAATCCTGTACTGGGGTACAGTCCCCCCTTTCCTCTCTCCTGACAAACTTTGCTGATTAGTTTCTGTCTTCACACCCAGGCTGACTTCTGCACCCTGATCTCCAAACAGTGACCTCATTGCCTTGTTCAGTTGGTGAGAAACTACAGTAAAATGGAAGAGGTAAACAAAGGGGGGGGAACTAATGGCCCGAAGATTTAGGAGGTAGGAATCTGCTCCATGCTATCCTGCTCCTATTGTGTGCCTGAGCTTGAGAAAGTGCAAGCTGAGTCTTGACAAGCTCTTTTCTGTGACGGTTCCTCTGGAAACTCAGCTCAGTCCTCCAGATGGTGACTTGGGACAGACAGACCGCAAATTATATGCCAAATAGTACTAGACCCACGCTCCTGTCACTGCTACAAATTCTGTATAGTACTGGAAATCACCCACCTTCTGCAGCAGGAGCTCTTCATCCCCAGCCCAACTGTCTCACCAAGATCTAAATATTAAAACCAAAAGCCTGTGTTTTCAGTCAAGCTGAATTTGTGTCCATTTGGTGCAGCCAGCAGTGTGCCTACCTCTAGCTGAGCTGCAGTTCATGCTCACACTGATTAGAGAAATAGCATTAACAGCACTCTGCCTATGAGGAGTATGTTCAATACTCCTACACAATGCAGCCTTCAATATCCTCCTTTTGGGAAATGTTTCAAAGTGTCACCCCATCCCTGACCCTGACAGACACCTCCAGGTCCTGGCCAGCAGCAGCTCAACTCACATTTGTCTTCCCAGACACTCAGTAAACACCTTTGTGTCCCTTTTCTTTAGAGGAAGGGGTCTTGCTGAGCTCACCCTGAAATATATCTCCCTGGACAAAAGGGCTGAAAGGTTAAGGAGCTCCAGGGGGTGGTTCAGCAGGGAGTTGGGGCAGTTGCCTGCCAGAACCAAAGCTATAAAGGCAGAGAGGAGCTAGGGACCACATCCAACACAGATGCTGAGAGTTCTGTCTTGCCTCCCACCAGCCCTGGGCTAAGAAGATGCTGGGGCTTCGGTCGTGGCCTTGCTCATTTTTCCTCCTCTTGGTTCTGCTCTCTGCCAGCGTTCAGACTGTGTCCTTACCAGGACAGAGGCTACAGGTAGGAGGGAGTGGGAGAGACCTGAGGTTGATTTCAGGAGGGGAGGAGGAGGGGAGGTTGTGTATGAAGCTCAAATGAGAGGTGGTCCCACATTCCAACTACAAAGAGGCTGCTGTCTACTCTTGTTGCACTCTCCCCTTCAGCAGCCTCAGCTTTAGGGTGACTTTAGCTTTATAAGCCAGCCCCTAAGGAGCACCAGCATTTCAAGATAGGAAACAGACAAAAGTTTTTAGTGCTCTGCAAAAGCTTTTAACAGTGAAGAGCCTGGTCCTTTCTAAGCCCACTCTGTGTCAGCAGCCACCAGATAATTACAGTCTTGTCTCTCATGTTCAGTGCCTAGCTCACATGTTTCAGAGGAAAGATGCATCCTGTTAGGCCAGGAGTTTTGCTCCTAAGCTCAGTACTATCCCCCTTAAAGACCCTCTTTAAGGCCAAGAGCCCTGTCAGGATGCCAGCTAAGGGCTTCTTCACTTGAGTAAATCTTTTATCCTCAGCAATTACAGCAATAGTATTTTT